TGTATGAACATTGAAACTTGTTATTATCGGTTTGTTGGTGATTGGATCAATTGTAATCTGTTGACCATTATTAAATGAATTTAAATACTGTTGCCATGTTAAATCATATTGACTCAATTTTTTCATGAATGCCCACTGTTCAGTCAACGATGAATCCGCAGGAAAAGACTTCATAAATCCTTCATGTTGAACTAAAGTATTGTTGGTCTTATTACGAGACGAGAAAAACAGATTACGTTTAATCAAATTATCGTTCAATAGTCGTTGTTTGGCTTGTTCACGGTTCATCGGCGAATGTGTCGGTATATTTACAATATCTGTTTTTGACATCAAAACTGATTTATATGTTAGTATATTTCTTGCAATTTTTCGAATTTTTTCATCTGTAACCAATTCTTTAGCAACTAATTGCAGTAACGGCAGTTCATCTTGAAAGAAAGGAAAGGAGAAGTTCAGTACATTCATTTTAAGGTTGGGTTCCCCATTTAGATTTTCCTCTAACGTTCCCAGTTTGTAAAGCATACTTTGAAATATACGTCCTGAAGTTTTTTCGGCTTACTGACGTCATCTGGCTGAGAAAAACATAAATTACTTAAAAAAATGTCGTTAAATTTTTGAACAAGGGACTATTATTAAAACATTCCTATCCATTCTCCATTCATCATAAAAACTTGGCTCTTGCCTAGATCGATAGAGAAATGTGTGTACAAAATGAGATTAGTTAGGAAAAAATCTGAGATGTTGGTTGAGCTAGCTTTTGTGCCAGCTGGTCGTATTTCTCGTGCAATGACTCCTAAAGTTGCATTGAACACACTGCAAGTGCATGGAAACCATCTTACCTGATCCTACTATAGGACCATTATTGCCGATAGTAATTGTGGATAATGATTGCGTTGTAGGCAAAAGCGATGATAATGCTAGATCTAAACACAAAACAAAATAAAAAGACGTACGTTTTGTGTCATTTACTGTGAACGACGAGCAGCTTTTTGTACATGAGCATACAAACTGAGAACTTCTTCAGCGGATTGCTTCCAAAAGAGCGGGGTTCATAGATTACAGGTGTCAATGGATTACAAGTGTTTTACACTATTCTTACCTAATCCTGTTGGAACATCGTCACTAGTGATGTTGATCATCAATGGTAAATCAGATTGTAGCACAGGCATAAAGGATGGTAATTCTTGATCTAAACAACAAGATAAATAAATAATTTGCTTAATGGATGATGTTCAAAAAAAATTATATCTTGTGCAAAACAAATTAATATTTCAACATCCAACATGTTAGCTTTTTTATTAAAAGACTTGATTTTTCAACTCAAGCCATCTATTCTAACCTCTAACTAAAAGAGAGTTTTATCTGGTCTAAATCAAAAGATAAACACATCAAAAGTGCGTAGCAGGAGAGCTTACCCAGTCTTATCGTAGCATTAGAGTCAGCAACATTCGTCGTTAATGTTGGGAGAACTTTAGCCACAGATAAACATGATTCTGGATCTATAACATAAAAATAACACTTGATCATTGATTCCTAATTACGAAGTCAAAATACCTGTCGTTGTTGTGCTATGCCAAGGTAACGATAATGTAGACGAGTTTGCCTGTTTTAACATAAGTTTCAGCCATTATTTGTTGATCAGCCGTCAATATAGACAATAACATTTTTATTGGATCTAGGTGTGCTGATGTGCCACTTGTTGCTGTAGAATCCACAGATTTGTCAGGTAAATGGATTTGATCGGTTAGTTCCGATGATGTTGTATCTGATATTTTTAATAATGGTTCACTGTCTATCTTTGTTGTTGTAAATGTTGTCGTCACAGCGTTTGCCACAGAGAAATTCGATGATGCTATCTGATCTAAAACACCATAAAAGACAACTTGGAAGAATTACCTTTTATCTGACTTACTAACTTACTTTTAATAACGAAAAGCAAATTTACTCATAAAAATTTCAATAGAAATCGTGGAAAAAGTCGACTTTTGTAAGTTTGAGAAATACGGAGTTTTTGAAAATTAAACACTTAAATGGTTAATCGGCTCAAATTGTTTAAACTCCTTCACGAGTGTTTCTACCTAGAATGACGCGAGAATAATCTTTTCTCATACATTCGATCGTGGGCTGTCTAAAGCACTACAGAAGCACTGTTTTAAAGCTATGATTTTCTGGTTTGGAAATCCCCTTTATCATAACTTCAGCCAGATTTTTCAAGAAAGTTCAGTAACATATCATATATTGCTCAGATTTTTGTGCTCTATTCAGCTATGTAATTTAAGAAATTTTTTAATTATTTTTAGAAAACTCGAGGGTTTTATAAAAAACCTCTGCGGCTTCCGAGAGATTCTTTCAAAAGCCCAAGCTTTTGAAAGAGTGCTTTAGGTAGCTCGTGATCGAATGTATGAGAAAAGATTATTCTCGCGTCATTCTAGGTAGAAACGCTCCTGAACGAGTTCAAACAATTTGAGCCTATGAGGGTCTTTGAAAACCCGGGTTTCAATAGAAATCCAAAATTTCAATAGAAATCGTGGAAAAAGTCGACTTTTGTTAGTTTGAGAAATACGGAGTTTTTGAAAATTAAACACTTAAATGGTTAATCGCCAGAATACAACTGCCTATTGTTAGAATAATTGTGGGATAAAACCAGTAAAAACCAATAAAACTTTTATTTATAAACTTCAAGCCCCCTATCACTCTATCCTGGAACTCTTACAACATCCGCCTGCTCAAGGTTGTCAGACCATTCTCAGCTAATGATGATGTGGTTAAATGTAAATATTTGTGAAGTAAATCCGATTTACCGGTTCATGTTGGGTCATGATTGATATCACTGTTACAAATCGACGGTGATGACATAGCTGGTGCTGCTACGTTGAGAACCGAGGTTAACGTCTTCAATATATACCTTTTTTCACCGTTTACAATTGTTTCTTCAATTTCATTATTACTCAAAAGTTCTTCTATTTCAGCATTCAATTCATTTTCATATTTATGCAATTCGCTAACATACTCCGAATGAGGACCAAAAAAAGAACGAGCCACTGGCGCACAGTAGGCAATCACGTGGACATTAGGTGGAAAAATGAAAGTGAGATTTTTTGAGATATGAATAATGCCCAATATACTTTAGCTAATGACGAATTTTTTGATCCAAAAATGTTTTTCTAACTCTCTAA